CAGAGCAAAGCAAAAGGTACTTAAGGAAGGTCACACAGAAGAAATCCACCAAAGCCTCAACCAAACCAATCCCACCCACTCCAACACCATCCACAAAGAGTGTAAAGAAATCCTGTACCATCTACCTCTTACCTGAAACAATGCATCATTCTCTTTCTTGGACTCAGTGATCCTTGAGGCCTCTTCCACCCTGGTTGGTTGATTCTTAACCTGATTATGTTCCTAGAGGCAAAATGCTTTTCCTTTGTAAATACCTTATTTTCAGCAGAAGCAGAGGTTTCTCCTCAGTCCTGTGCCTCCACTGGAATGGGATCCCAGAGACCTTCATGCTAAAACTGAAGGAACACTCTGGAGAAACATGAGCCAAGTGATCAGCTCAGCACCACGAGCACAGACCCTCCTGTCTGGCACTGACACAGGGACCTCTAGCAGGAGGTCACTTCCCTTGCTGTAGATATCTATTGACTCTGCTAAATTCATGCTTCTACAGATGTTCCAACACTAAATCTGGAGCTATTTGGCACTTGTCATCACCTGATGAAGGAGTTTGTGATCCTGCAGAGCCTCTTGGGACCCTGTAAGAACATGGTTAGCAACTTGGTGCTGTCACCTCGGAGCAGGTGGCTGAAATGGTAAGCATGAAGAACCCAATTCCAGGATCAATAGGACACTGTGAAGCTGTCAGGAAACCTGCTGTGCTTTCACACATCAGCACACAACAACTCTCCCCTCCAAGGACTGAGTTATGAGAGCTCTAGGAGTAAGGATGAGAGCTCCTGTAGGCACAGAGGCTTTAAAACAGCCTCTGGCATTTTCAGACACAGTCAGAGAGTGCAAAGTATCTGCAGGTGTTAAATAATCTGCAAAGAAGCTGCACCAGCTTTGGTGTTCAGGCAAACTTCTCCTGGTTTTATTAAACGTGGCTGAACAGTGTGCAGCAATAGAAGGAAAAACAAGAGCGAAGCCTGAAAATGCTGCACAAAACCAAATAGAAGGACAGAACTGAGTATGAACTTCTACTTAGTTCAGTAAATCCCAGGGATGAAGCAAGTATGAAGGAAAACATGAGAGACTTTAGGATTTAATATTGGTTTTAACTTTTTCCTGATCCTATTTCTACCAATATCTCTGCTTATAATGCACAGATTACTTTCCACACCTGATCACAAATAGAAATACTCAGAATGTGAACTTAGGGGGTAACTGCCTGTTTGGCTCTGCATGTTGTCAGGATTAAAAACTTGCTGCTCTGAAGAGTTACAAGGGGAATGCACCTGCTTTCTTGCACAGGCAAAGTCAGTTCTAATTAATAATCATCATCACAGAGCTGATCCCAACACTGATGGTGCAGGAGGGTGTGAAACTGAGCTGTAACTTACAGATGGAACATGATTGCTCCTATCCAGACAGAGGTAGACAGGGAAAAAGTTGTAAACCACCTGAGACACCTCAAAGGTGAACAAACAAACAAAATAACCTTTCCAGTGCAGCAATCCAGGACAAATCCATGTGCTGTGCATTTTATTACAGAAAACAACCCACCAAACAACCCCAAACCACACAGCTGCAATCTAGTCAAATTATGGTTTTATTTTTGTTCTCCTTCCAGCAAAGCAGTTCTGGCTCCTACCACTTGACTGGGCTTTGCCCTCGTGCTTGCTCTGTCTTCACATAAGCATCATACATTTCTCTCAGGTGCAGCAGCAGCTCCTCCAAGTTGTCTCCTGTCAGCGCAGACACCGCGATGACGTGCTCAGAGACCTGTTCTTTCAGGAGTGGCAGATTGATCCTGGACTGGGCAAGGTCAATCTTATTCCCAATGACAACACAAGGCCTCTCACACAATCCTTGTCCATATTGCTCCAGTTCATGTTTCAAGTCTTGCAGCTGAATCCAGGGCCGGGGCACAGAGAGATCCACCACGTACAGAAGGAAGCGGCAGCGCTCGATGTGCTTTAGAAAGGCTATCCCAAGGCCTCGGTTCTGATGGGCACCTTTGATGAGGCCAGGAATGTCAGCAACTACAGCGAGAGAAATTCCACAGGGAATCAAACATAGCCAGTAAAACACCCCCGAGTCCCCCCAGTCTTTTTCTGGCCAGTGCAAGTACTTTGAGAATGACATCTCAGTGCACCAATATTAAAGCACATCTCATGTTCAGTTTGCTATTAACTCCTAAAACACCTAAATTTACATCATTCCAGTGCAGACAGAACACAGATTGCTAGTTTGATATTAAGGGTACCTAAAAAGGAATATGAAATGGGCTTTCAGCATAGCTTAGCTGGAAGTTCTTTAGAACTAGCCAGAATTCTACACAACTGCTAAATCTGCTTCTGCAGCATTCCAAGGCATTACCCAGGTGACACCAACTGCTACCAAGGCACACACAACACTCTCCAGTCCTTACCTGCTACTTGTTCAAAGTCTTGATAGTGGACAATGCCCACGTGGGGGTTCAGGGTTGTGAATGGGTAGGCAGCCACAGCTGGCTTTGCCCTGGAGATGGCTCTCAAAAGAGAGGATTTTCCAGCATTGGGAAAGCCCACCTGGAATACAAACACTTCCATGTCTCAGTCTGTAAACAAATTCACTCAATTCTGCCAGACCACACAGTTATTCTGCAGCTGCTGAACTACAGCAAGAACGGTTTGCAGCAAAGCAGAACTTTAACAGCTTTACCAGCTGGTGTTAAAACATTTCCATACTCAAAGATGAAAAAAGCTTAAGCCCTGAGTTGACTTAGCATTTGTGTCTAAATAGATTTTCCATTTCAGAGGGTGCTAAACCTAGATCTAACAGAGTCAACTGTAAAAAAGAAAAATATAGGGATGAAATAGAAGATCATTGGAAGTTTGTTCTACTTTAAACCACGAAAACAGAAACTAATCTAGAAGAATTCTCCACACTGTACTGTTCACCTGCAGAATCCTCAGGCAAAGCTGCTGCACATCATCAGTCAGTCTGTAAATCACTGATTAATCTTCCACATCGCTTTCCTATATATAGTGCTGATTTTAGCACAAGAAGGATGACATCAAGCAGCAGGAGAGTGACAGCCCTGAGAATCACTGTGGACACCCTTCAACCAAGTAGCAGCAAGAAAGCATCGAGCTGCATTCTGGACAGGCAAGCCAGAGGCTAACAAAAATGTTACCACACATTATTTCTTCAATCAGTCAAGTGTCACCCCACAATGATAAGGAAGTGGAAGGAACAGCAGCACTCACCAACCCTGCATGAGCTGTTGTCTTGAGCTCCAGATGAAGGACCCTTTCCTGACCTGGCTCTCCTGGGGTAAATAATGTTGGAGCTCGGTTTTCATTGGAAAGGAAAAAACGATTCCCTTTCCCTCCAGCTCCTCCATAAGCTGCAATATACTCCTCACCATGCTGAGTGAGGTCAGCCACAACCTTCCCATCCTCTTTCACCAAAGTACCTACAGGGACCTGAAAGAGAAGAGACGTGCAAGCACTGCATGGAGCTCCAAGCCTGCAGCAGAGCTGTCCACCAGCCAATTTCAGCTTTGCTGAAAATCATTCCTCTATATTCCCAAGCTGAGGAATCCAGAAAGAGAACTGTGGTGCGTGAAGTTTCCTTTCTGAACTCAAACAGCACTAGCCAGACATTTACCATTCATTAAGTGTAAGCAGAACCATAAATCTCCTTTCAGGCAAAGAAGCCTGAGCAGTGCAGTGAGCTAAGAGACACTGCAGGTGTGCACCAAAACAGGCCTGTTAAAGAAAAGAGCTCTGGTCCTATTTAAGCAGCTCTGTGTTCAGGCTGCTCTAGGTATATGACCCTTAGGAGTAAAGCAAATTGTTTTGGCCAGATGCTAAAGAAGCCTAATTTTAATGAACTTAAAGCAGGTGGATCTGCTTGACCCAACCAGCCCTGTCTCAGCAGGCAGCACAGAGGGTTCCCTGCAAACACACTCATGAGAACTGCTCACAGTAAGGTGTTTCAGCTTGAAAATCAACAATGTACCAAGGTAGCACACAACCTTCCCTGACTTACCTTGACATACACATAGGCACCATTAGCTCCATAACAGTTTTTGTTTCCTCCTTTCTCTCCATGAAAACCCTGATAGAAGGACAGCACTGAAGAAAGGGATTTCATCTGCTTGTCAGCTGAAAAGCAAAATACATGTATTTTCAATACACTGTTTTAGTAAAACAGGCACACAGGAGCAACCTCTTGACTCTTCTTTCTCTTTCTGAATACTGCATAGATGCATATCCTATTTACTGTCTCAGCAGTACTGTATCAGGGAAGACTAATGTTAATCTAAGTTGTAATGAAGTTTAACTGCTCTTACTTATCTGCTTAGGTTTATTAGCCATGCACTTAATAAAATGGTCATTCCAAAATCAACCATTACCAAATACCCTGGAAAATCAGTTTGCTAGATGAGCAGATTTTGCAGCAGGTGGTGGCAGAAGCAGCTTTATTCACATTAGGAGATCACAGCCTTATCCTCACATAGTCAGGCACCAGCCACTAAAATAGCTGCAAAATGCCTTGATTTTCTAAATGCTTTCTAACGATGTCAGTGTCATTTTTGTCCTCATTACCACAGCTCTGGACAAAGCTTAAAAAGCAAAGAGATCTCCCACAGAAATAATGAATCCAACATTTTGGATAGTTAACATTTCCTAACATCCACACCGGGCTGGTTTTGCTGGGGTGAGGTGTGAAGCAATAAGACAACAGCATGAAACAAACCAGCTTTAGTCAGCTTTACCTTTCAAAATGACATGACCTCCATCTCCTCCATTTCCACCATCAGGACCTCCAAATTCTTTCCTGGGCTCACTGTGGAAGGAATGACCTCCTCCTCCTCCTTGTCCCCCAACCACACGTACTCTCCTGTGATCCACAAAACAGCGAGTCTGGAACGAGAGTGGATGTTGTGTCCTTTCAGTACAGTTTATCAGAGTCATCTTCCAATAATCTGTCCTGCAAAACTTAGTCACAGATAGACCTGCCATTTTTATTTTATTTAAAGGGCCTAATGACAGGAAAATTATCCTTTTAATACAGTTTAATACATGCTGATAGGTAGCCCAAGACAGATATCACAATATCAGCCAACACCACTAAGAAATTGTGTCCCTGCTCATGAAAAGAAAAATTAAATTTGTAAACTCTTGGCTTTTTTAAAATGGAACTGACATTTGCAAGAAGGACACAGGGCACATATGGGAGGGGTATTCTCACACTGATGCACTGTTAACTACACCAGGTGGTGAAATTAAGGCAAACGACAATCTTCTATCAATGGAGTATTAAAGACAAAGAATATAAAGTATTTGTGAGCAAAGGAAATCTTAATATAGGCTACAACAAGTTGATCAGGGGCTAAAACCTATATATATATATATATACACACACACACACACTGATACATATGTGCATATATGCAGTGTGAAGAGAATTCCAAATCTTTATTCCATTTCTGACTTAATATTTGACTTCTGGCAAACTAATTAATGCTGCACTAAGTTTCAGCTTTTCTGTCAGCAAAATAGGTTTGACGATGTTTACCTGTTTCCAGAAGATGGGCTGAAATTCCCAAGGGAAAATACTAGAGAAGTACAATCATACAGGTACGTGGAATTGTTTACACAGAGGGGTGAAAAGAAAGCCTGACCTTGACCATGGTAACACTCAAATTCTGTCAGTTACTAAGGGACTCCATGAGAATGAGCAATTAAGGGTCATTTCAGATAAACAGCCCAAATCGTATGTGAGGGAAAAAAAGTCTTATTAGTGTTATGATAGCAAAGAGAAACCATTGGAAAAAAAGACCCCAAAACCAAACTCTTGATAACTGAACTTATACCATGCCCAGTAATATATTAAAAAGCCTCTTTTAGAGAATATTTGGCACCACCACACGGCGAGACAGAAACTATGGCTTTAAATGGGGAGTGACTTGTTATCATTAGAAAATGAGATTATCTATAGATGTGTATATAGAAAGATAATACGAAGGGTAAGTTCTAGGACCCTGACAGAAGATATTGCCTGTTTGGCAGCTGACGACTATGCAAAAAAAAACAACCCAGTGAGAAACAAAGCAGCATTTTAGCTTTAAAACTATGTAAGTCCTATGTATCAACCTATGGATACTTCCAGCCCGAAGAGGCATAAAGGAACAACACTATGACCCCTCCGAACAACAATAATATCGCGGGGCAGCCTCGTTTCTTCACCGGTCTGCAAATTCACGCTATTTTAGCCACATTTCCTCGCACTGGAGGAACAGAACTCACTCACCAGCTGCCGCTCCGACAAGGCTTTCTTCTGCCTCAGCCTCCTCTTCGCACACCTCGGGCAGCTCGTGGAGAAAGCCGCGGGGGTGATGGGGAGCAGGGCTGAGCGCGGCGGGGAGAGGGATAACCCGCACCGCCCCAGCGCCGGGAGGGCCGAGGG